GGGGGGGGGGAAGGGAAGGGAGTAAATGCCCTCTGAACGCTTTTGAAAAATGATTAAAATGATGATCCAAATTGTTGTCAAAGGTGATTATTTTTAGTTTTTCACCTTAAACTCATAGGCTTTGTAGAAAATGATAAATTTTAAATGGATGACCCTCAAGATGTTATTAATTTTATTAATATCTTCACACTCTCAATCTCTCATATATCACGAGTTTCTAAATATAAGAATTAAATGAACCTGTAAAGGATTTATAATATTATATCATTTGCTATGACGTACATTATTATTAAATAATTCATAAGCGTTGTTAATTGCTCTTTTTCCCAATTTTAATAATTACGTTTTGTTTCATCAGCTGTGTTTGTATACCAGTATTTAGCCTGCCTTGTAAATTTAATGGCTTAGCTTGAGCAGTATGCATGTGAGGCTGTTGAGGCGGTGTAATGTGATAGAGAGTCCGCTTCTCATTCATTTGTACAGGTAATCCTCGCCCTAGATTTTGGCCCACTTAGATCAGGCTAACCCTAACCATTATAATACAATACAATACAATACAATAAATTTTATTTCATGTCGGTTATAAATTGAATGGAAACATTAGCTTTACAGCTATTCTCCGATTCTATAACTAAATTGAGGGCGGACCCTCAGTTTCGTTAGACCGGTTTAACAAGAAGTAATGTACCGATAGACGGGGGGCGGATCCAGGAGTATTTGGAAGGGTGGGGGGGGGGGGGGGTCCGCGGATGAGAAGCCGACTCCACCCTACCCCTGGGCGTGGGGTTCGGGGCCCGCTGAAGGGCCCCAAAAACTTGGGTATTTTAGAGGGTGAACGGTGCCATTAGGTACGGTTTAGAACTATGATTCAGCTAGTAAAAATTCTAATTTCAAGAGTGGACCATTGGTGTGATTTTTTCAGAAGTCGAAGCCCCCTGGCGCCCCCCTAAATCCGCCACTGTATGGATATATGTAAATATACGTTAATAGCCAGAACTGACTTCAAGGTCAGGGAGCAGGCTGTAGCAAAATTAAAAAAAAAAAAAAAAAAAAACAATCTGGTGCAGTAGATCGCCCTCAACAGAAAGCGTACCCGCTACCAGGGTGGCAGATATCATAGGGAAATCTTGAAAAAGACAGAGGATCAAATGGCTGTCTGTTTATCAAAAGCCATATCTGTGAATATCTTGTGATAAAAAAAAACAATCTGTCGCCCTGGTAGAGGGTAAAGAAACCGTTAATTGGTTTGAAGACGTTGGGTAATTTTTGGTCGTTTTAATGTCCGTGTCCGCGTAGGACAGTCTAATACATAAATTATTTTACTACATAATTCAAGTTCGCATGTGCATACTCTCTACAGATAGTGAACAGAGAGAAATATCCGTAAAAATCTGGTGAAAAAAATAATAGAGCAACGAACACAAGCTTTTATGCCCTAGGCTGTTTGACGTGAATACTTCCCCCCTCGGATTGGGGCTGATGTGATCGGCATATGTTTTACCGATATAACACAACTCTTAAAACTAAGGCTTTTATTTAATAATTCTTATATTTTGTTATTTATAAGGCCGCTTGAAGAAATTTTGGTTTCAGGTTATTGCGAATTTTTTGTACAACACGCGTTGTTGTGTCATTCATTCAAATCATTTAAGAAATACGAAATTTAGACTGTTCGAGTTGATGTCTTTTAAAACATAAGGCTAATATCAGTTACGCCCATCTTTATTATTTAATTTCAACCGAGATGAATATTTCATTCTTATAAAGAAGTAACTGTTATCAGGCCTATAGCCAGCAATTTCAAAAGGAGGTTCTTTTTCTGAAAAAGTGGACCTTTTTCCATATAAACGTCATGAACATAGATCAAATTTTACCCAGAGTGGACCTTTTCCCAGCAAAAGGGGTGGTTCTTTCGAACCCCCCGAACCCCCCTGGCTACGGGCCTGGTTATATACTTGTACTAAATCCTCAATATATTTTTTCAGCTCGTTGAAAATAAAACCAAATGGCAAAACCACTACCAAGAAATGTGTCAATAATGAGAATTGCCAGTCTTTTGAACATTGTTAAGATTTCCACTTATGGATTATGAAAGGTGAAAGTTAGATACTTGATTGGCCTTTACAGTCCAAACTTAATCAAATACCAATTAAAACATAATCAAATACGATGGACTTCAGTACTAAATGTAACCTGATTAACAGCACTTCGAGTCAGCGCAGTAGTGGACAGTGAACGTGGCCCTGCACCCCTTGTCTACCCAAATCTGGTTGCCAAGGAAACCAAAGCTTCTGTTGTAGTCACAGCTGGAACGGGAGTGCTTCGTGGTCACATACATGGAAGTAACGACTCCACTGATTGGACATGTGGCGTATCTGTAACCATGGCTGCTACAAGTGGCACTTGCTGTAAAAATGGTGATTGTAATTTTAATTTGATGGGATAAAGTTTGGTACTATTTGGTACTTTAGGCAGAAGTTCAATTTTTTTTCAGTGATACGAAAGGTGAAAATTATTTTATTTGAAAAAAATTAAAATTAGGAAATTAACTGTGTTAAACCAGAGTTTGATTTTTTAAAAAATAAACGGTCCCCGCACTCTGTGACAAATAATCAATACAAAACGAAGATACTGAGTAACATTTGTGGTACCTTTCTATCTAGCATGTTACAAGAGAGAGAAAGTGTTATCCTTTTTTGTGACATCTTGTACATTTGAAAAAAAAACATCGACACATGGTAAGGCCTTAAAAAACCTGGACAATAACAGATGGGCCGTTTCTGATTTTTTTTATCTAATAGGCACTGGCACATAAATTATGAATAAAATGCAACTTACTCGTTCTCATACTTTTACAGTCGAAGTTGACGTAGAAGCGGGCTCTGCAGCCGTGGTTTACCCACAGATTACAGCCATATAAAGCGAATGAGTTGCCCATATTGCAGGCGGACCTTGACCTCTTCGTCATCACGCTGGCCGAAATACCTCGGACCCCCGTGCAACAGGAATTGTATCGGTAACCATTGCTGTCACAGTCGAAGATCCCCGTAACGGCTAGGAATAGAAAACAAAAAAAATGTTGATTAAATCTTTGTTGTGTTATGCTTGTTAATAAAATAGAACCACGTGCATTTTGATCCTGTTGTATTGTGTAAATTTGAATGAAGAAATTTTTAAGAAAACGCTTCATATAGTAAATATGGTCATGAAAACGTAGGGCCTACAAATATTTTATCATTAAAAGTATAAGCTATATACAAATGACTCTATTGGAACTGAAATTTATCGCACGGATCTTCTCTCGCAAATATTCAGTTATGCAATGTGACAAATGTGCGCATTTAGAGAAATTGTGAATATTGTATTCACAGATCAGCGAAGCATTAAGTGAACAAATCGTTCCCTCGTCATTAAGAGAAAAACTCTTCGCAGCCTCTTATTTTTACCTTCGCTGGTACCCCACAACACAGCAATCAAGCAAAGAAAAATGGCAACGGGCATTTGGCCTTGCATCTTCTTCCCTTCTTCAATATTTACTCTTAGAGCAGAGAACCGTCGTCTCAGATCTTGGTCGTGATCTTGAATGTACAGTTCTGAATAGGTGACGCGACTTATATTCACTTTGGAAAGGTAGATTAAATGCAAACCGGTGGTTATTTGTTAATCAGCAGGCCAGGCATCATTTCTGTCAGGAAGTTATTATCAAGGAACTAAATATTTATGAAGACAACATTTTCTGTTGCGGTTAAGAAAATGTGTCATCAGTCACGTTTCACCTTGTGAGATTAAGAAAAATATTTTGAACTTTTTTCCTCAACATATTCAGCATTGTATAATCAATCTTAATTATGTCACCATTTATAACAGCATTTCATGAAATGTAGATATTAGAATCTAAACTTAATATTTTCCTTTATAAGCTTCAGCTTTGTTGGATTATGAACTCTCCTTAAAAATATCCTGTAACAAGCATTTAAAAAAAGTTCTATTCTCAAAATATTTGTTTCGAAATATATTTTGTTTTAAGTCTTTACATTTTGTTCATAAGCTTTTTAAAACACGACCGAAGGACGTCTGCCTTCTTTCACGAATAATTTAGCAATTATTTAGCATGAAGAACGTGTACATAAAATACTTTTGCTGAGAACTAAAAACCACACAAACATGAAAGCGTATTATTAGTCACATTTCTATATAAACGTGGTTTAAAACTTAATTGCCATTCAAGTATTACGAGTTAAATCTAAATTAATAAATATTTATCTTATTCCACACCATCGTGATCTTATGGCAATCATTAGCTCGAAATACCTGTACATAAAACATTTTGCTGAGAACCAAACAAAGACGAAAGTTTTAGCCACAGGTGTGAAAAAATACAACAAGAACAATGTTTTTTATTGCTGTTATTGCTTTTCAAAACAGCATCTGTTTATTTAGAAAACAATACATGTTCGCCTAGGCTTGTAATACCTTTATCATCTTGTTACTTGATTCGTAAGCGTCTTCACATAGGCCCCTGTGAGAGAGACAGTTTCTTTATTTTTCTCACATATCAACATTTCTCATCATTTTCCTCCTGTCTCATCACACTGAAAAGTAATTTCATCCGCATTCCTCTCTGATATATGTTTGCAATACACGCCCCAACGAATTTGAACTTTGCCCAAAATTTTCACTCTTCTGAATTAGAAAGTAAGCCGCCACACTCGAAAACCCCTGTAAATTTTTAAACGATTGCGATGTATAAATCAGTAGAAAGAGGATGATTGAATTTCTGTGTTACAAAGGATCATATAGATTTATCATCTGGCAGGTATTACAAACAACAAAGCACAAAGCACGTATTAGTAACTACATGATCACTTCTCAACCTGGCGGCTCGCCAATTCTGTAAGGTTCAATTCTAGGTTCACAGATCGAGAAGAAGTGAGCAACAAGAGTCGTGGATTTCCAAACAGCTTTATACCCACTACCTAACTTGTTCTCTCTACCCACCACCTGTTCTATTTATATCTACCTTAATGTCTCATTATAAGGGCGCCACCGCGTCCCTTACAGTTTTATTGAGAAGTATCTTTTTCTGATTTAAATTTTGATTACAGTTCACGTTTTTCGTAATTAGAATCAGTTACGTAGGCCTATGGGCATTGTGTTTATCAAAGTGTATGTTGCTATGGGTGTGGCATTTTCATGAACAATGCGTACAAGTATTTTTACACTATAAATAAATTGCCGTATCTGGGCAACCAGTTGGCAGCGGACAACGAGTATGGATATTGTTTTTGTGTAAGTGTTTGCATTTAAATAACGATTGAAGTATAGCTTATGTAAATATTATTTTTTTTAGCTGAGAACACAATTTTAGCTAGAAGAATTTAGTAGATTTATTTAGTATATTTAGTACTACGTATCATTTAGTTTGTTTTATTTCTCTTTGTGTTTCAATGTATTATTTTCTTTTTCTTTAGTTTTCGCCAGTTCAGTATAGTTTGACTGAGATCAGTTCATTTCAACTCAGCTCAGTAACCAGTAACGGTTCAGTACACTGCGTGATTAGACAGCATTTAAACATCCAAAGATGACTCTTCGTCTTTCTTACTCGTGGTCCGCTACAAGGAGGAAAACAAGAGCATCTACGTTGTATTCATATGAGATTTCCAAATACATGCAGTGTGTGTGATAACAAGACAGGATATAAATTGGGAGCTTTTTGGTGACCTAAAAGAGTTGGCAACTTGATGACGTGGAGAAATGAAAAAAGAGTCCATTTCCCTTGAATATTCCTCTATATGAACGATCTATCGGCGAACTACGAACGATTTTAAAGTATAAAATTACAGACGTATCTTTATAGATATTAAAATTTATTGGACAACAGTTTTTTCAAGAAATTCAAACGATTCTGTGTCTTGCCGCAAAAAGAGCTCTTGACAGTCCACACGAGAAGCGGACCCTAAAGCGTGCGCGCGAGTTCTTTTNTAGCGTTTTGTAAAAAAAGAAAAAAAAGATATTACTGCAAATTTGAATGAAGAACATTTTAAGAACGCTCCATTTTTTTAAAATAAATATTAAAACAAAACGTACTAATATTTTATCATTAAAATTATTAGCTTTACAAATGACTCTACTGAAACTGATCTTTTCTTGCAAACATTCATTAATGCAATGTGAAGAATGTGCGCATTTGAGAAAGTTTGACTATTGTATTCTAACATATCAGCGAAGCATTAAGTGAGCAAATCGTTCCCTCGTGATTAAGAGAAAAACTTTTCTCAGTCTCTTATTTTTACCTTCGCTGGTACCCCACACAGCAATCAAGCAAAGAAAAATGGCAACGGGCATTTGGCCTTGCATCTTCTTCACTTCTTCAATATTTACTCTTAGAGCAAAGAACCGTCGTCTCAGAACTTGGTCGTGATCTTGAATGTACAGTTCTGAATAGTTGACGCGACTTATATTCACTTTGGAAAGGTAAATTAAAATGCAAACCGGTGGTTAATTAGTTAATCAGCAGGCCAGGCATCATTTCTGTCAGGAACTAATTATCAAGGATCTAAATATTTATGAAAACAACATTTTCCGTTGCGGTTAAGAAAATGTGTTATCAGTCACGTTTCACCTTGTGAGATTAAGAAAAATATTTTGAACTTTTTTTCTCAACATATATTCAGCATTGTATAATCAATCTCAATTATTCTTTTACATTAATTTTACAATATGGCTTCCGTGTCAACATTTGTAACACCATTTCATGAAATGTAGATATTAGAATCTAAACTTAATCTTTCCTTTATAAACTTCAACTTTGTTGGATTATAAACTCTCCTTAAAATATCCTGTAACAAGCATTTTTAAAGTTTTCTTTTTTCAAAATAAAATATTTGTTTTTAAATATTTATATTTTAAGTCTTTACATTTTTTTCATAAGCATTAACACGACCGAAGGACGCCTGCCTTAAGCAATAATTTAGCATGAAAAACATGTACATAAAATATTTTTGATGAAAACAAAAAACCACACAAACATGAAGGCCTACCATTGATCTCATTTCTACATGAATATAAACGTATTTTAAAACTTAATTGCAATTCAAGTGTTACGGTTTTAATTTTGAGTGATAAATATTCATTTCATTTCACACTATCGTGATCTTTTCGCAATCATTAGCTCAAAAACCTGTCAATAAAACTTTTTTGCTGAAAACCACACAAAGGCGAAAGTTTTAGCCACAGGTGTGTTAATATTAATTTTACTGCAAATTAAGAACCTGCACAAATAAAAAACAACCCGGGTTGGTACAGGATGATACCCGTAAACACATTTCAAGTGATATCGTTTCAATTGTAGGTTATGCAGTTACCTTAGCGAGGACACTTTTCTTTAAAAATGCAGAAGGATGGTTTACACATACATTCATTATATAACAGAAAAAAAGTTGTTTTTGTTGAGTTCTATAATTTTCCTCCCACGGCAGATTCCCTACACTCCGATGCTATCTGCATCTCTTTTACAACATGATCTCCTGTAAGTTCTAATGACACCTTTCCTGACACCACAATAAAAGAAAAAAGAGAAAGAAATACATAAAATACTGAATAAAATCTTTAGATTGATAAATATAACATGTAAACATATGAACTCTGTACATGTTTAAAATCAAGCTATCAAATTATAAATAAGACATTTCACTCAAGTTGTTTCGTTTTTATTTGCAGTAGTCCTACACTGCGTTCAAATATATGAAAATTGGTATAAAACTCTAGAATCAACAGAGAATCTCGGTCACCTATTAATACATAAGATAACATGTAAATGTTTAAAAAAAGGGTATAAAAAGCTTGAACCCACTACGAATTATACAGTTTAAATCCAAGGATATGCAATCACCATAGCAATGACTCCCTAATGCAGGGGGATAGGCGTAACATACCGTAGTTCCTGGGGTAAGAAGAAAGAAATACGTTGTCACTGTAAACGAGTTAAAAACAGGTAAATACGAGGTATCCATCTTCCTCTCATCAATAAAGCAGATCGATCGATTGATCCTTACTTGGAGTGATAATCGTAACCCTGGAAGGCAGGCGCGAGCGAAGTGTGTGTGCGTGTGTGGGGGGGGGGGGGGGGGGGGGG